TTTAAATTACTTCTTATTATAATCCTTATAGTATATAGATAAGATTATAGATGTAAACAATTGTATTATTATAGGTTAGCTTTCTATTATCTGCTATATTTTTTTAAGTATCTATTAAATTATCTTATCTTTCTGTATTTCTTTAATTAGCTTATTAATAAATAGTGATTTGGGAAGTTCACTTATTACTGCTAAGGAGGTAACCTAATAATTATATATTATGGTTCTATCTTTTATCTTCTATAATAATACTAGTTCTGGTTTTTAAACTCCTTTTTTATAATCTAATTATCAACTTAGTATATTAGCCTGTCTATTCTCTTTTCCTTTATAATATTTAATAATAAAGTTGTAGTTTATTAGTATTTAGCCTATCTTGCCTACCTTTACATTAATATTTTAGTTATTATAAAGTAAGTAAGATTCTTATAATCTAAGATTACTCTGATTATATGTTTTGCTCCTTTAAGATAAACTCTCTATATCCTAAATACTAATACTATAGCCAACAATTCTTTATTATAGATCTTATAATTAAGTTCTACCAGGGTCATCTTCCTTAAATAGAATATAATAGGTTTTAGTTTTCTATCTAGTCTAGGTTATATTATTTATACTCTAATTATATAGTCTGATATATTAGTTTTAATAGTTATTTCCTTTTCTAGATTATATTATGCTAATATTAGTATAGTTATAATTTATAATTTTGCCTCTTTAAATGCTCTCTATTATTGTCTATTTATATTTTTAATCTTTCTAAAATAGGTTGAATAATAGCTTTATGATTTTTGCATATCCTTTAATATATTATTGATAGTAGTTAATTAATCCAATAAATAATTATAGTTCCTTAATATTCTTTAGTATTAGCTATTCTCTGATTACTTGAACCTTATTCCTATTAGTCTAGATCCTTTCTATAGTAATTTAATATCTAAGGAAGTCTATTTTTTATATATAGCTTTAAGTTATAGTTTTATAATTTATAGTTTCTATAGCATAAGTTTTATATATCTAATATATTCTTCTAGGATCTTCAAGAATACTAGGATGTTATCTAGGTATACTATAATAAAATCAATGAGATACTTAGATAAGACTAAGTTAATAAGTCTAAAGGGCATAACTAAGTATTTAAAATGCCCAAACTTAGTTCTAAAAGCTATCTTCTATTCTTTACTTTCTTTGTTTTGTAAGTAATTATATATATCTATAATATTAAATTTAGTAAACTACTTAGTTCCTTAGACCTTATCCTGAATTTCTATGATCAAAGGTAATGGGTATTAGTCCTTAATAGTAATTGAATTTAGTTATTAATAGTCTATATAAGGTCTCAAACTCTTATCCTTCTTTAGAATAAATAAAATAAGATATCCTGCTAGTAATATTAAGTATTAAATATATCCTTTCTTAAGGTTTTTATTAATATATTCCTTAAGTATCTGCATCTCCTTTTCTCATAGTAGGTAGATTAGTTTACATACTAGTTCCTTCCCTTCTATAAGGGGTATCTTATAATTATAAGATCTATATTCTAGTAACCCTTAATTAATACTAGGATTAAATAAGTCCTTAAACTATTTATATTCTTTTAGAATCTCTGGCTTTTATATTTTTATTATATTAATCTCTTATTTGAAAGTCCTCTATATTTACAAGGTATTCCTTGAGAGCTTCTTTAAATTGCCTAAGTATATTCTATATGCTATATAGTTATATTATAATAATCTGCTGCTCAGTTACTTTAGTTTTAATATTATCTTTTTGTCTACTAGGTACTATTTATATTTCTTCTTACTGCTTAGGTACCCTTATCTCCTATACTAGACTATACTGCCTCTCCTAGGTATATATGTCTTTCTATATAACCCTGCCCTTAGGTCTATTTCTTATAAGACTACCTTTAACTTTTCCTTTATAGGTATCCTGGCTCCTAATTATCCCCCTTAACTTAGTACCTTTATAGCTAACTCTATTCCTATCTTTTAGTATATAGGTCTCTAGTATCCTAATATATAAATAATTATTTAGTTATAACTTATTATTCTTCTAATTAATTATTTGGTTATACTTCCTTAATTATAATATCCTAAGAATTATATTATACTATCTAAGTTCTATTAAAGTTAATTATCTCAAAGTAGTTATTAATCTTTATTAGTATCTAACTGGTCTCCATATTCAAACCTTTACTACCTAAAGGCTTGCTATTAATCCTTATTATAGGAATAATCTTAGACTTTTCCTACCTAAGAATCTTTAACTATTCCTAATATTATAGGTTTATAAAGTTCCTAGTTGCCCCTAAGTCAATTATTACTATAGTTAATTAATTAATTAAAGAACTAGATTTCTAATTTTATATATGTCCTATAAACTGTTCTAGCAATTTAATACTTGTCTCCCTGTCTGGGTTCTCTAAATTATCTTAGTAGATTTAGAAAGTATCTATTTGCTTTTATACTATAGTATCTCTAATATAAGTCTTTATAGTACTATTTCTAATTAATATTACTATAGTATGGATATTACTAATATCTAGTATAATTACTCTTATTATATAGGTTGAATTTATAGTATCCCTAAGTTACTTTAGGCCTCTTAAGAAACTATCCTGCCTTTTGCTTTTCTAAGAGGTAATATATATACTTATCCTAGTAATACTGTCTAGGACACTTCTTAATATTATTTGTTCCTCTAATAGTACTAATATAAGTATTTATTCTACTTATAATTATAAGTATTAACCTATATTCCTTTCTTCTAGCTGACTGCTTCCTAATTCTTATAGTATTTAATATACCTTATATAACTATATATTAGACAATTTATTTCTTAATATTAATTATATTTCTTAAGGTATTCTATCTAAGTCTTATTGGTTTCTTCCTAGTATTTATAATTCTAATTATAATATAAGTACTCCTGGCTTATCTCTTCCTTTTAAAGATTCTCTTAAGGGATTAATCCTTATTATAATGTCTTTTAGGGGTAAGATAGTTCAGAAGTCTCTTTAGTCTCCTAATTCTTACTCTTTACTAGTCCCTTACTACTAAAGGTTTTTGGCTTACTTTTCTCTAGTTCTAAGCCCTTAGCCCCTTCTGGCTTATCCTCTAGTATTTAAGCTTCTTACTTAGGTACTTCTGGGGATTCTATAGTCTCATACCATAATCTATCTAATCTCTATATCTGAGATCTCCTTAAGGTTAGATTCCTTATACTACTTAGGTAACTAAGCTTCCCAAAGTATCTAACCCTGACTTGCTAGTATCTCCTTATTATTAAGTTCTAGAAACTTAGTATCTGCCTATTATTAGGTCCTAATATTTTTATAATTATTTCTGAATTCATTTGTTACCTTAATTTGCTTTCTATCTATCTTCTGTTTCTGCTTATAGGTTTTTTTTTTTGATAATTCTTTATAAGATGTCCTACTTTTTTGCAATAAAAGTATTTCTTCTTATCTTCTTTTATTAATTTACTGATTTTACTTAATCTATAGTGTCTAGCTCTATTAGTCTTAGTCTATAAGGGTCTTCCCTTAGTTATATCTATTGTTTCTTATTTAATTAGTATCTTCTAAAACTATAGCTCTATCTAGTTTGCCATCTTTTGATTTCTTTTTATTCTAAATATTGCTTGTAGATCTAATTATTAATCTAAATTGCCAGTTCTATTATCTAATTAATTCTTATAGGTCTTTCTTAATAAATTAGTTTAACTTTACTCTTAAGTCTACTTTTAAATATTGCAATTTGAGTATCTTTATTCTATAATAGGTATAATATGATTTATTAGAATTCTAAAATATAAGCTGCTATTAATCTAGTTTATTAAAGAAGTAATAAAGAAATATAAGTAACTAGGTCAGGGCAATACCTACTAGAGCTATACTATAAGGTATACTAATAGTAGTAAGATATCTTACTAACCCTTAAGTAAGTATCTTAGTAACCATGATTAAATTGGAATTAAGCATAAGATAAAGAAGACTAGATATATAAGGTTGAGCTCTTTTTTATATAACTCTTATTTTAGTCCTTAATTTCCTTCTTGCCAGTCCTTGTTAGACCTTCTTCTTATAGTCCTTATTAGACTTTCCTTCTACAGTCCTTATTAGACCTTCTTATTAATAGACCTTCCTTGATCATATAACCTTATATGCCCAATTCCCTCAGCCTTGCAGGGTATTGTTTCATCCTGCATCACTGTGTTGGACAGCGCTTCATCTTGTTGGTTTGTAACAAAGAAAACCTAATTCTACCTTTAAGACATATCTATTAGAAAGATATTTCCCATTTTTAATAGTAGATAAACAGTATTAGCTGGAATGTATAGTTAATCCACCATAAAAAATTGAGAATGGTAGATCCACCGTGCATCTACAGTATTTCTCAACCAGAAGATGCCGGTATAGTAGGCTTACTAATGCCTATAAATGCTCTAGACCTTTGGCCCTCTGACAGCCTGTAATACAAGCCTTTAAAAAGCCTCTAGGGAAGCCTATAAAAGAGGCATTAGAAAGCCTACATAAACTAATGCTTATACCTAAATGCTCTGGACCTTCAGCCCTCATAAGCCTATAATATAAGCCTATATGAAGCCTATAGGAGTGCTAGAATGAAGCCTCTAGGGGCACCAATATAAAGCTTATAGGGGTGCCAGTATGAAGCCTCTAAGGGTGCCATAGAGTAGGCAGGTTTAGTATGGTATGCTTATATAATTTCTACAGACAGGTACTAAATAAGCACAACTAGCTAATCATAACACATATAGCATGTTGAATAAGCACAGCAGACTAATTATTATTCTTTTAGTATGTTTTCTATAGTTTTTTTTTTTGCAGAAAAATGCATATTTCCTTTATAATAGATAGAGAAGAAGATAGAGAAGATGGTGATACAATGGTAAATATATACCCAAACTGGCCAGTATGGTACCTGCTGCACACTGGCAGAAGGCTTACTGTCTAATGTAATGTAACCTGCTGGCACTTAGCCAATTGGCCCCCAGATCTAAATAGGAAATAATTAATCAATCAATCAATTAAATATTAATCCTAATATTCAGTAATTTTTTAATTTTATTATAGCTTACATTTAAAACTGCAACCCATTTTTTAGTCTGTGTTAAACCCTGAAAAAAATGTCAACCCTCTACAGATCATTATACAAGGCACCTTACTAGTGTATGTCATTTATTATGACTGTAGCCATTATGGTTATTGTACAAGAACTCATACATGCAGACATGCAAACAGGCCAATCTTATGCAGCGCAATTAAACCCAGTTCAATCGCGTCTTGACTGTTGGAGTTACCCTTGTCTCCAGCTTTCCTTGCACACCAATATTTCCATCTTCAGGAGTATTACTGGAAGCAAAAGTAAGAAGATCATTGAACCAAACCTCAAGTTTCCCCTTTTCCACATAACGCCGTAAGATTTCATCCTCTAGACTGAGATCACGGAGCACATGTGGCCATTGCTCTGGACGGAACCGTGCTTGCAAAACATTGTCAAAACAACAGCCGAGAATCTGCGAAGGTCTATGCCGGGTGTATAGGGGCTTCTCGATCTCCCCTTCGAGGAATTCTGTGAAATCATCATCAGTACCATAAATTTTGGACTTGCACACTCGAGGATTATTACCTTCTGCAGTACATTCCGTTAGAGTTCGAAACAGCGCAGTATCACGTACGCATGACTCCAGTTCAGCATCTAGCCTCAGCTCAGTTTTTCCAATTGTTTCCCAATTATCTCGAATCATGCATCTCCTCCAGATCATTTTCTGCAACACATCATGATAAGTTGGGTCTGTATCAGCATAGCCGCTGAGACGAAGAATACGTAGAGCCAAGTGAAATTCGCGTCCGAGAAGGCCACTTTCTTCCCCCTCCAAGAAATGCACTGGGTCCATCAAGGTAAGCAAGTCGATAAGTTGGTCGATCCCCAGTGCTTTTCTGTCAATCAATCTTGCCAGAGCATCCTCAAGAAGTTCACGTAGGGCTGGGCGGTTGCTAACAATTTGCTTTCCAAAATGATCCATTGCCAACTCAAGCCCGGCCTTTTGATCAATAGCACCATGCAAGGCAGGCAAGATATGTTCATACACTAATTCCTGAATGGCGCCTATTTCAGCGAAGTCGTCGAGCCTGCGTATATCATCTTGCCCATTTGCGTCCTGAGGACGGCCATTCTTTTCCCAAGCCGCCAATCTCGTAAGCTTTGCGAGGGAAATCTCAACACGCTTATCCCACAAATTGGTTTCTTGGTCTAGGGCGAGGCGTTGCAGAGCTTGCGATGCGGCTTGGTAGTCATCTTCTCCGATGACCTCATTGATCCAGGCTAACCGTGCATAGGATGGAAACTTTCTTAGAAATCGAGTGAGGTGAGGTTGATACTCCCTCATCGACAACAGCATTCCGGGCTGCCCGACGATTATTTGCCGTGAGAAAAATGCATCTGCCCAAGATTCACCGAACTTGTCAAAGTAACCCGATATCCTTTGTCCAAACGCGTTCATGTCGTCAATAACAACTGTAGGACTTCCAGGCGACGCATTACGCATAACCTTCTGGTCCTTTATTTGATCTTGCAGTTCAACCATAAGTTCAACCAACGCGTCCATGTCTCGAAATTGTTCAGCCAAAGAAATTGCTCCCTGAAGCTGACCAATCCCAGCCATTTTAAAAAGTTGCCATTTTCTCTGGTTTTTATGTGATTCCTCAATGGAAAGCCTTTCGTCCAATAGTTTTGGTTCATCTTGGGCCGACAACCATTGAACACGTTCCCTGTGCATCTTCCCAAAAACTCGGAGTCGACGAAAGCTGTTCCGGGCGATCTGGTCAAGAATTAGCGGATCTGGATTTTCAAGTCTGGACACCGTCTGCTGCATCCAAGACCTGCAACTATCGAGCTCCAGGTCCAATAAATGTTCAGTTTCAGCATAAACCATATTTTGGGAGGTCCAGAATTCGGGAAGGCCCTCGTAGGATGAGAGCAAAACACCGTCTTCCAATAATTCTTCGCCAAGTCCATAGAGTACTGCGTTGTCTTCTCTGAATCGAAAGGCTGTTTCTAGGATGGCAAGAGACAGCTCACTAGCCTGAAAAATCTGTTCCGAGAACTGGGCGCCAAGTCGAGTAGTGCCTCCCTTCGAGTCACGGATGGCGTTGAAGATCCAAGGGATGACATGCTCCATTCGATATGTGTCATTGATGAACCAGTGTCGAACATGATCATTCTCCCCCTCATTGACTCGCTGAAATTTGGTCTTGAATTTGTCATTCATTAAACTGAGCACGCGCGATAAAAACGTCGGCGACCCTTCTTTTTTCCTTCTTAACTCTTCCTCCACCTTCCACATAGCCCTGTGGGCAGCAAGTTTTTCAGCACTCCACAGTAATTCCCAACGAGCGCGTCGTGAAAGAGGTATTCTGCGCCGAATCAATTGACATGCTAGATCATTTACAGCCTTCGCCCGCAGTCGTAAATGTTGGTCAAGTGACAAAGCTGTACTTGAAATGAATCTCGAATTCGACTGAAGTAGTTCTTTGCAAATATTCAGCGCAGCCTCTTCCAACTCTTCAGGAGGAAACGTGATGCCACTTTCACTATCGAAGTCCAGAGGGTTATCCGACATCGTGCCATAGAAAATGGCTTGTTCAAGCTTCTGTTTAGCGGTCACCCGAGAAAGTTCTAAGTCATTGTCCAGGTTTTGTCGAGGCAAGACGGCAATGCGGATTAGGCCAAAACCTCGCACCATGACCAAGCAAGCTGGGTGCTTATGTTCGAGGGTTTGATCTTCACTGCCACTCCCTAGTATCTCGTATTTCTCCTCGTTTCGGAATTGCAGACGGTCCTGAAAAGGCCTCGAAAACAGATTTGAATCCAGCAATTGTGCTGATGGAGATTCCGTAGCCTTGGTTAATGATATGAGGATAATAGTTTGACCCAAGACAATAAAAGCCGTATCCCACGGTTTTGGAACGTGTAGTCTTGGCTTCTTTGCCGTGATATCTTGGGAAAAGTTCGGGTTTTCCACTTCGTGAGTCGAAACGATATGTATTTTGCTGCCAGACAAGGTAGACCTAACCACGGCAATTCTTCTCTGACCGGTTTCTTGCGTTAACAGTACCAGGCAAAAGAGGAATGTCTCTTGGCATCCAGCTTGTCCTGACTGTGATAGGATGCTCTGTTCTCCAGAGACGACGTTAAAATCCAAGATTCTCAGATCGTGCTCACAGCTATCACCAGAATGATCCTGTCTAAGGGCCTCGCAGATGTCACGGCGCAGATCTATTTGGGTGCGGAGCACATTCACATTATTCCAGTGAGTGTCCCAAATCTCGAAAAGTCCCGCGGTAGATGCGATGATTATGTCACGTTGTCCTCGTTGTGAAGATTCCCCGGCTCTAACAGCAGCCACATTTTTTCTCCAAGAATAGCTACCTAGGACACTTTTAATGCCATCAAGTAATCCAGCATGTCCTAGCCTAGGAGCACTTCGAAGAAAACTGACCGACACTGTCGGCTTTCCTTGAGGATCTCTTACTGTGACATGGGCTACCCTTCCAGACGATAAGGTCACCATGATACCAGAAGGTTCCGCATTGATAATATCGGTGGCATGTTCTCCAGAAAGAAGGCCTGGAATTGTACCTTGCAGGCCATTCTGTCTCTGTCTTGTCATGCCTAGAACGGCAGCATTTGATGCTGTTTCCCAATAGATTATTTTTCCGGTATGAGGAGCCACGACCATCAAGCCAGGAGCCCCAGACGTTGTTGTATTCGATACAAGGGTCCCCAATAAGGGCATTTCAGTTGTGCTCCTGCAGCATTCGGGAATTGTGATCGAGAGAATATCGGTGGCAGATGAGGAGGATAGTGTCGCATAGGGCCAGATGATTGCATGTAATCCGGTCAGAACGAGCGCGTAACCTTGGTCAGTAGCAAAGGAGCTTCTGAATGGACCTGGACAGCCAATCTTAGTAAAGATTTGCTTGAGACTTAGGGTAATAAGAAGACTGATCGCTACCTAAAGTTGTCCCAAGAAATTGATCAGGCAATGAAGGTAACTGAGAAACAATATAATAGTCATTTCGCGACTAAAGTAATGGAGTTAGTATACGTGAACAAGGAAGGATAAGGCCAGGGGGGGGCCTACCAGAATTACAGTCCCATCGACATTGTCACCAGATTTCTCTGTTTTCTTGGGCCCTCTGAGGGTAAGTTGTCTTTGGAATACATCCTCACTTGAAGTGATACCGGATTCTTCAACTGAAGCTGATTGTTGACTTGATTCAGAAACATGTTCGCCATCTCCCAACGTAGCCACATCAGGAGGATCAAACGTATCCTGTCGCAAAGCCGATCTTTGTCGCTTAGCTTTAGGAAACTTCACAGAGTCATCTGAACTCGTTCTCTGACGCCTTCGAGGATTTCGGAGCGAAGAGGTTGTGTGGGCGGTTACATCTGGAGCAAACATTTTGAATATCAACAAACAGAAGACACGCCCATTTGCCACATATACGTGATTAATATCGCCCTAGCGAATTGGTATGGTTTCGAAGTACAGCTGTTTGTTTGACAAAAGTGAGCCCCAGGCTGTTTTGGTCTCCGATTTACCAAGTTCCTTGTTGACAGGCAACATGTCTAGCCGCGTTGGGTGATGATGTATTACCTAATACTATCTGTATTGACCTTGCCTATTTCGGAATAATAACGATTACCTACCTCCTCCTCCTAGGTCACGCCGGTCCAAATTGACAGGTATTACCAATCTTCTCTGTACATGTACAGAGCAAGGCAGAATTTGCAAGTGTTCTCAATCTGTCGATGCTCATCATTATCAGTATGGCAGCACCATGAGTGTACCTACTGTATTTCTCTAGTCTTTTCATTTATTTATTCAATAAACCTCAAGACATTCAAAATATTACTACCTCTCCCAGTAAAATACAGATTGCAGAAGTCCCCCTTTGTCCTAAATAGAATGGTCAGGTTAACTGATTTCACTTTGTCCAGGTCTACTCCGTACTCCATACTTCGTAGTGAATAGATCACAGGTTGACCCACAAAAGATCATAGTCACGTGATATATATTGTCAACAGCAGTTTAGTCTCTGCAGTTGTTTAGATATTTCTAGGCAGTTATCCCTCTATTGTGCATGAGGTACAAGCTGCATGCTCAAATTAGCAAAGGGGAATTCCCCTTCTTTTCAATTTACGCAGACTTGAGAACATAACTGCTGCCATCATGCCATGCACTAGACTGACGATCCTTGACTGCAAAAGTATTCGATGTTCATCAGGATGCTGCCCTCACTTGTCCAGCTGAGACGGCTCCTTGCAACCGAAAGGGCTGGTAGCTTTCACACTGCTAACTTAATACCACGCCAAGCGTGGTCGTTTTCGCGAGTGCCTCGGAGACAGCTCCGCACTGCCCTCTTCTTTCCTGGTCAGACTCCCTTCGATGAGCGTCTGACAGAGTGATGCTTGCTGAGACATGTAACAGGACACGGTGTACATCGTGTGGGTATGGCTACCCCATGGATCGAGAATTTCCCTAGAACCGCTCGACCGTTTATGGACGAAGTGGACTGTATCTTAGGGTTCCCTCTGTCTCGTGTCATATCAGATGGTCCGAACTCAAAGTTGAATGAGACAGAGAATTCTCAGCCCGCAATTATGGCAACGTCGATCTTGATTCTTCACGTGCTGGAAAAAGAATTCGGTTTCGATACGAAGCGACGTGTCGATGTCACCCTTGGACACAGTTTAGGTGAATATTCTGCTCTGGTCGCAGCTGGCTATCTTGAATTTGCTTCGGCACTCAGAATGGTTAGACGTCGGGCAGAGATTATGGCTGAATGCAGCCGTGATGCTTGCCGGAGTTCTGGGGATAGCTACGGGATGATAGCACTGATTTGCGAGCCTGACCACCTCAATGGTTTAATCTCAACCATACAGGAATTCTTAGGACCAGGCTCAACGGGCTCCAAGGACGATTCAAGTTATGAAGTGTCTCCAATCCAGCAAGTTCTCATTGCAAATATCAACTCTAAGAACCAAATAGTACTAAGCGGCAGTATTGAGAGAATCAAAACGCTCCTGGTACAACTCCGACAATTTGGTGGCCATGATCCACGTGCAGTGAGGCTGAAGAGCGACAGTCCGTTTCATAGCCCCATCATGGCACCTGCAGCACGTTATATGAGAGACGCACTTGAACATGTCGCAATTACTTTTCCGGCAGCGATGCCATGCATATCTAATGTGTCTGCCCTCCCCTTTAAGTCAAAGGATGATCTTAAAGATTTGCTGTCAAGGCAATGTGTTGAGACTGTGAGGTGGTGGGATAGCATCAAGTATCTGGATCAAGAGCAAGGGGTGAAGCGTTGGGTTGGGATTGGTCCAGGCAAAGTCGGCAGAAACCTGGTTGGCAAGGAGGTAGGTAGAATCACAGCCAAGGGTGGAGGCGTTTGGGCAATCTGCGATCCGAGAGAAGTTGAAGATATCATGCGAGCGCTGGAACAGACTGAGGTTGAAAGCATGGAATATCAATAAGTGTAATAAATGTATTCACTACTGCATAAAACTGGACCTTTGCTTACCCTGAAGACAGAAACCATATTACCTAAAGCACTCCTTTGACCCAAGTTGGTTGTCGCCATTTCTCCTTCATCCTTCTACATGATGCCAACTGAAACTCACTTTCGACACTGTAGAAACGCCAGAGACATGATGATGTTGTTCTGTATAGTATATAGTTGTTGATTAGCCTTGATCTATACCTAGAATCCATAACATTTAGGCATCCGCTGTGACACTGCTATCCAGTGTCTTGTAGGCTTTGTAGGTTATATTCACAGTATCAATGTTTAGATAAATTGCTCTCTCAAAGGGCCGCTTAACTTGAACAAATGAATTTGGCATGTCTTTTGCCTCCCCCCATGTTCTTATGGTTTGGCCAAAAAAAATCGTTCAAGGCCTTTTATGCCTTTATGTATTCTACTCCACCTTCATTCCCCTCTTGGGTGGTACGTATCAAATAGGATAAAAATTCCTTTTCGGCGATCCATGCTCCAGTCGCATAGTTGACATCTGTCGTTATCTGAAGCTGCTCTTGTGTTAATTGGATCTCAACAGGACGATAATAACCGAAGATACGACTAATTCAAGGGAGTCTACCCGAAATATGTTATCAATCATCCTCGTATCCATCAGCAAGATCCAAAAGAGCGATGCTACCGTTCCCTTTTGGCTCTGTTGAAACAACCTTGGATCTCTCCGGCATGTCTAAAGGCATGAAACAAATTCAAATTTTAGAAAGGCCGGGCGCCCAAAGTTCGCCAATTCGTCTAACCTCTGCGACAAATCTCTGATTGGCAATGTTTGCCGAACTAACTCCTGCGGATGTCATCTTTGCTGTAGGGGTATGTTCATCAGGAGTGTAAAATGGGTTCTGGAGAAGTTGAATATATGCAGTCTGTAGCGCTCGAAAAGCCTGGTGAAAGATATGAGTATAAAAAGGAACTAGAAAGACAAGATTGTTAGACTCACGGGCTTCAAGTCCGAATCCTTGATACCCGATACTGTGGTAACTCTGCCTCTCTCAGCATCGGCTGGCATGTGCCGTCCTGCCATATCGACAAGGATCAAAAACTTCACCCCCGTATTTGTGAGCCACCCATAGGCAGCGAGTCTCTCATCTACAGCCTGTAGAAGACCTAGGTCCTGCTCGACAGAAGTCTGTTTCCGTCGAATATCAAATATATCGAGACATGAATTTATCAGAAAAGAGAACTTCAGGCGTGATTCGAGAAAAGGCGGGAACAACGAAATATGAAGCGGATTGTCCTTTGAATGCGTTAATACATCCAATATACCTTTGCAGGGTGACATAGCGCATGGAGATAGCTCCGTACATTCTTCCCTATGATTGCAATACAGGCAATTGCAGGAACTACCATTATGAGAAAATTTGTTAAACCCTGAGCAGAAGAGTTTTAAGACACTCGTTGACAGCATTTGAATCGGGTAGCATGGCAACACGGCCTGCAGTATTGAACTGTGACGATTGATGTGACTAGTTAGGTCATGCTTGAGATCTCCACCAATGGGGAGGCTTGTGATTTGATGACAAGAATTGCTCCTTAAAAGAAACCGGAAGTATACTTTCTCCGGTTTGTGTTACACGATCCTGCCGGTTTTGCCATAGATCTTGGTAATAACATTACGCTGCATACCTCACTACCTACTCCGTACATAGTTAGGTGTTCGGAAAATCATCTCGACTCGGGAGCCGACATCTGTCAGAGGTGCGTTCCGATACTCTTACTCTTGGTTGCCATCATCTCCTTTCAACCTTCGCCTTGAATATTTGAATTCTTTCCGGCTTCTTGTTTCGCTTGTCCCCGGTCTTGGATCTGTGCCTTGGCCAACATTGAGATGATTTCGTTGACCCGGACAGCCGGCGCTGGGCCGTTACGCCGTAGGTTCACACCCATCTCCAATGCCGTCGAATTGACCTAATCGCATATGGTAGCGTGCCTGCGTTTGATTTCACCCGTGAGTCGCGTACAACCGGCAGCATGGATTTCGAATTCATTGTCAAAGTCTGCGACCGCTCTTGAACGACAAGGAGAAACTGGTTCACCCCTCACTGCTTCTGGGAAGGTACGCCGTGAGGTGCCTCTTCCCAGTCAGGAGAAGAAAGAGGGTGCGATGCAATATGCCCTGTACGTGCAGCTCAGAGTATTCGGTTTCTACCATTTTTTGTATTCTTAAGACTGGCTAATTTTCTGTGGTAGAACTACACTTGATCAGATTGCGAACTGGGCTCGTCAAAGTTCGCTGTGGCCAATGACTTTCGGTCTAGCCTGTTGCGCTGTGGAAATGATGCATTTATCAACACCACGCTATGATCAAGACAGACTTGGAGTCATCTTCCGAGCTTCTCCTCGCCAATCGGATGTCATGATTGTAGCAGGAACTTTGACTAACAAGATGGCTCCTGCACTGCGGCAAGTCTATGACCAAATGCCTGATCCTCGTTGGGTTATCAGTATGGGTAGTTGCGCGAATGGTGGTGGCTATTACCACTACAGCTACTCGGTTACCCGTGGCTGCGATAGGATAGTCCCAGTTGATATCTACGTGCCTGGATGTGGGTTTCTGATATCTGTCTTAAAAAAAATAAATGTTACTAACTCTTGACTGTTGTAGGTCCTCCGACCTCGGAAGCTCTCATGTACGGGATTTTCCAGCTTCAGAAGAAGATGAGACACACGAAGATCACACGTATGTGGTATCGGCGGTAAATTGCATTCATTCACTATGAGACGGAATTGGTCTGGGCCAGGGGGGAGTGACGCATCTGAACCTGAAACAGAACTAGTCTTCCCCCCCTCCTTTTTTTCTTTTTTCCATAGACGTCGGAGGATGAAAATTCGAGCCTCTGTTCATGCGGCAAGGAATTAATATCTCTTGCCTGGACCCTTATCATGCCTTCTCAGTCTTTTAAATGTATAAAATTCTCATCAATCTATATTATGTTTGCACACATCAGATTTTATTTGTCCCTAATATGCTTATACAGGCTTTTTGTCTTCTTGACCGTCCAACCACTTTTCTGCTTATCCGTTCACTATGACTCCTCCGTTGGGATGCAGACATTGCCCTGACATATAACTGCTGTCTGCGCTTGCTAGAAATACGAAACAAGTGGCGACTTCGCTTGGTTGCCCTGGCCGCCCCATTGGTACTTCGCTGAATTGCTCCATTGCCTGTGTCAACATTGTCGATGGGATAAGTGGAGTCCATACTGCAAATACCAGCATTAGCATTTGTGCAAAGTTCCGCAACGTATCTTAACGGCATACTGGGACCAGGACAAACGCAGTTGACGCGAATGCCCTTGTGGATTTGTTGGTTAGACAATCCCCGGGTGAACGCCACGATCGCCCCTTTGGTGGAGGTGTAGTCGAGGAGATCCCCTCTACCGATGTAATGGTTCACTGAAGAGCAATTGATGATGGTCGAACCACTCTTGAGATGGGGTAACGTATATTTTGCAAGGTAGAAAAAAGGATGTATGTTGGTATCAAAGGTACGTTCCCACTGTTCCCTGTCCTGTTGTCAAAATCATGCGCCAGTTCTCAACGCAAATTGCAGGGCAGTTGCACATATCAGAGAAGCCGAGGAGCCACATACTCGGTAATATCTTGGATGTCTTGAACCATGTTCTGGAAAGCCGCATTGTTCACCAGGATGTCTATACCTCCCAAGTTCCGAAGAGCAGTATCCACCACGGTCTTGCAGTTCTCCTTTTTGCGAATGTCTATTGCCAAGAGATGACATTCGCAGCCATGTTCCTCCACCTTCTTCTTTGTCTCCTGTGCATCCTTTTCTTCCTGCGGTAGATAAACGATTAAACTGGAGGCGCCTTCCATTGCAAAAAGGATTGCAATGGCACGTCCAATCCCGGAATCTCCACCAGTGATGATAGCACGTTTTCCCTTCAACTTCCCTGCTGCTTTGTACAATTGGTACCCACCATCATCTGTTGGAAGATGGTCTGAAACAGGTTTCGGGTCAGGCATATCTGCTTGGAATCCAGGTTTCTCCTGATGGTGAACCGGAATTTGATGTCCTGTTTCTTTTATGTCAGTGATGTTGATGTCCTTGGCTCAGACCTTCGTTACTATACCGCGTTGAAACTGTGACTCGGCACCCATTCTGTCTGCTGGTCGTTGTACGGTAGGACTCTATATATGCAAAAGAGCTTTTTTTTGGAGAAGAACTAGCGGCACAATAAGTATTCGGGGGTTCTCAACTAAAGATCCTGAGCTGCAATAGATTGGGAGCTGAGACGTAGGAACTACATTTTTAAGTGCACGATTTTCTGGAATTGGAAAGTATGTCATTTGGCAAGAGCTCCATCACTGTGACGTTACGGATTAGGTCCAAATGACATTTCACGGCCAGGCATACATGCAGGCTAAACTTTGGAATAGAAGGCCACCAAACGGCTTCGACGTCCGCAGCAGATTAGGTTATACGCGTACAGTTGTGGTTGAAAACTTGTCCTGATTAGTATGTATCCACTGTATAGTGCATACTCCGGAGTAGGAGGCATTCGAAATTGTGAAGATCCAAAGTCCTGCACTATAGATTGAAGAAAAATTAAGTCTTCAAATTTTACTCTCGTTTAGGATGCTTAGCCTGTCACCTAGTCTTCTGGACAACATGTATGTACGGAGTATGCACATTATCATACACACATTTAAGGTGTTTGTACTTGGTCATTTACCAAAAGGGGATGGTGCTGGACTGCTTAAACTACCTACTAGGTAAGTGATATCTGTACTCCGTACGGAGTACAGTACATTACAATGATTACATTGTAACGTCCAGTACGTTTGGCATCAAACTACATGTCCCGTATTAGCTAAGAATTGCAAATTATTCAATTCGTTCCAAAATCAAAACAAGCCCCAACAATAATTTCTACCTAGGTAATGAGTATAGTAGAATTACAAGACTCCAGAGATCCTTATAATAGTTGTAGTAGCAGAAATATGACGTGGTGACTTCTTAACATACCATGAAACTGCTTTACATGGTTTACTTGGCGCAGAAAAGTTAATAACATTCAACAAGGTACGTACAGAGTAGATATAAGCGCCTGACGGGATATAGTAGTCTGTATGTCAACTAAATCTAGTCGACCTACCTTCTCAAACTGTACACATTTTACATCTCTCAATGGATCATCCAGTGATACCAGTTAAAGGATATTCGAAGATGTTTTGCTGGCGTGACCGGTTGGTAGGCTACGTAGCAAGAGCACCTTTTTGGGGCCGGAGGGGTGACCGAATCAGGCAGTGGCCTCCAACACACCGCCCGCAGAGCCGCTACAGTGCGGCGGCAGAACACGGTCCACATCTTTTTTTTTCCCTCAGCACGCCTGTTCCTCACAAGAGCTTACCATTCCAACTCACCCTACTTTGTCAGCCTTCTTTTATTTGGATATGGAGATGGAGTATCTCATATCTACTCCTACCGATATGCACTTAGTAGTAGAAAACACAGGCACCGTTTCCCGGTTCATTTCAGTGGCACCCCAGTCCTTCCTACAGCCTTCGAAGGAATTGTATGGAGCATCACTTCTCTCGGCAAAAACTTTCCTTGACCCTCTAGCATCCAGCATTGCTAGATCCCAGACTCATCGTCAGAAAGCCAACAAAAAGAAACGGAAGAGGTCCGAAAGCAGTAAACAGTCTGGCGAAGATGTTCTGCAGCTGCGGAGCTTGTACGTAGATGGCTTCGCTGTTGGCCAGATATGGGAACAGGCAATGCGAATCATCGATGCAACGAAGGACGAAATACAGCATGATTTTTCTGTTCTTCCTGCGACATTACAAGCCGCCCGATCTCCTCACAATAATGGGCCGCTCCTCCCTGACAGTGACAGGTCGGCTGACCGGGTTGGACATTCCGAAGCCATGGATGCTTCTGACGACACCTCTTCTCAATCGAGTGTTGAATCCATGAGTGGTATCGAATCGGGATCCACAAACGAAAATGAGAAGCAACGGGATCCAAGTGATTTGAGTGAAATTGATGACAGTGCCGTGGGTACTGATGATGAAGATGAAGAAAAGTTATCTTCCGATGGAGAAATACAGGAAACATACGTCCAAGACCCCTTTGGACTCAATGACGGCTTCTTCTCGATCGATGAATTTAATAAGCAATCTGAATACTTCGAGCAAAAGGATGCTAAAGGAGATCCTGATGACAACGAAGCAAGTGATGAAGAAATCGACTGGCATGCAGACCCCTTCGCCCTTGGGAAGTCTAAGGCTATTGGAGAAGAGAGGGATACACGGTCAAAACTACATGATAATGATGATCAAGCCAGCATGACTAGCGAAGATGAGGGCCCAACTTTTGGGAATGCTAATTCCAATGCGCAGTCGGATGAGGATGAAATGTCAGATGCTGACAATGACACTTCCTGGATCGATACTAATGATATCAAATATGCTGATTTCTTTGCACCTCCACCGCGGAAAGCTTCTGACAAGAAAACACGGCCACTCCCAAAAACCCAGCTACCAAAAACTGATCCCGAAGACGATTTAGAACGTGCTATTGCCGATGTTCGCCGTGATCTTTTCGAAGATGATGGTTCAGATGAAGATGCAGAGATCGATCCTTCGCTCGTTCCTGGGAGTCAAACAGGTCGCTCTTCTCATGAGAAGCAACGGGCAAGGATTGCTGATGAAATCCGCCGGTTGGAAGCAGCGAATGTGGCAAAGAAGGAATGGACGCTCGCTGGTGAGGCGAAGGCTGCCGAGCGACCTCTCAACTCTCTAATTGAGAATGATCTCGATTTTGAGCGCATCGGGAAGCCTGTCCCTGTCGTGACAAATGAAACCTCGGAGGAAATCGAGCAACTGGTTAAAAGGAGAATTCTCGCTAAGGAGTTCGATGAAGTCATTCGACGCCTTCCTGATTCCTTGAGTAGTGACGGAGTCAGGAGAGGAAGATTCGAGATTGACGAGACGAAACCTCAACAGAGCCTGGCTGAGTTGTATGAAGCTGATCACCTCCGTGCCAACGACCCCAACTATGTCGATCAAAAGGATCAGAAAATGAGACGTGAACACGCTGAGATCAGCCAGCTGTGGAAGGAGATAAGCTCTCAGCTCGATTCTCTCTCTAACTGGCACTACAAACCAAAGGTCCCTCAGGCCAACATCAATGTGGTTACAGATGTAGCAACTATTACGATGGAAGAGGCACGTCCCACTGCCGGTGGTCTTGTTGGCGAACAAGGTACCCTTGCCCCTCAGGAAATTTACAACCCTGTCAACAATGGGGGGTTGGGTGGAGAAGTAGTCCTTAAGAGTGGAGCGTCCGTTGCCAGAGATGAAATGACTAGGGAGGAGAAGATCAGAAGAAGACGCAGACAAAAGGAGAAGACAAAGAAAGTCAGTTCTGAGCAGGCGAAGACACAGAAAGGCAACGGGGAAGAGAAGCAATTGATGAGTGAGCTGAAGAAAGGTGGTGTCAAGATTCTCGGTGACAAGGGTCAATTGAAAACTCTTGATGGCCACAAGGCGAGCACCTCAGAGAGAAGTCAAGGAGACAAGCTTAAGTTGTAAAGTTAACCTGGGAATATGGGCTATATCTAAGCCATCTAAAAAGAATCCATCATTTTGCCTCCATAATTTGGGCGAATCCAGCTCAGTATCATCCTTTTTTCAGATTTCGCGATTTGATCTTGTAGAGGAACAAGTTATCTCGCGCGTAAGTGTCGTAATCAGCATAATCTCGTATCTCCACAACATCAAATATCTTCTTTATCTGTTTTATACACCGCATGTCGGCTCTCCGGCGTCGCTTAAAACAGAAATAACAGACTGATTCAGGGCCCAACAGCTGCTCGAGCGTAGAGATTAGGAGAGGGAATGCTGGCTCAAAGTAGACGCAATCTGCGGCAAGCACAACGGCCGGGTGGGTAGGGATGCTGGCAGGAAGCGGCCTCCCCCAATTCAGTACTGTGGCCCTAACATTTGGTGACAGCCCATTTATCTTGATATTATCCTCCATCAGGGGCAACATGGACTCCTGGTCGGTGATGTAAATGGGCATGTTGACAGAACAACCACGCGCAACCGCAAGTCCTACAAGACCACCACCTGCCCCTAGTTCAACTCTGAAGGCGGCTTGTCAGTTTAAATATTCAGGGCTGCAAGATGAGGATGTTTGGTAATACGACAGGGAAGGTGCATACAGACATGGTCTTACCAAGAAGATCCATACGATGTTCGCGAAGCATGTATTTGGCAAGTAATATGCCAGCTGGCCAAAGTTGCCCGCCACATCCCTTTTTGAGATCTTCTTTGAGGAGGAGCGGATCTTTCAAAAGACCATCAAAGGAGACGCTGGTTATTCCGGGTTGTTTGAGCTCCCGTATCGGGACCAACGACTCGCTGATGTCGAAGAGGGAATCTTGATCCGACAGGGTTGGAGCGGGGTCAATGTTCGCCATGCAGAGATTAGGACTCGATTTACCGCCGGGGATTCTGCAAAGAGAACCTATGATGCACTGAACCCAAGACTCTCGTAGTTTGGTTGTCAACAGCCTGATGTGAAATGCTTTACTCCGTACCGAGCCATGTAAAAAAAAGTTCCTTGGCTCACACAGATCTCACAAGTTCTGGCCCTGTGGCTTGATATAGTGGGGAAGGCGTGAGTGCTCAGTGGGCACTTTACTAAGGTAGTCAGCTTTTGTGGGTCATTTGTATTGATTGCTGTATTACAACTCACATACCCTGTAGTAATAATAGATGTCTCATGTATGTATGTACCTAATGTAGTTTGTATGCATGATGCATCCACTATTATTAACACCCTCCTACACTAGTAATCAACTCAGAACTTAAATGGAAGCTGCTGAGTCATTGACTGTAAACATGAGTTCAACAACATAGATGCAAGAACACATCTGCTGCAGGCGGATGTCACTAGAAATAAAGGATCGGTTGGAACTTTTCGAGGTTGTAAGGCGCCAGACGGTTGTGACTCACCTTATGGTAGAGCATTAATGTATACGGAGTTCAATACGCATGCCCCCATAATGGATGAGCTTAATCTTGGGGAATGCGACCTACCTAACCTATCATACTATGTGCCCCCATGGTTGCGGCTATTCTGGAAAGCCACTTGATCACCATTGGCCAATCAAAAGCAACACCGAGCTGTCTGGATATTCAAGTTTCATTGTCACCTGTGAGTCTTCCTGGCCTCTGGAAGACATCGTATTTAGATAGTTCACAAGACCTCGAAAAATTCTTTGTAGTCTTCGCGTCAGTAACCTTTCTCCATTCTTACTTCAATTACTCCGTACTTTCCTCTGGTTGTTCCCTTTGTCTGTTTTCGTCCAAGAATCTGACGTCATGGTCAATCGCGACAAATGGATCTAGGCTGTTTAAGCCTAAATAAAGCTTGGTATGATCAGCTGGTTGGTTTACAGGTTCACAAAGCACCTGAGAGGAGGTACATACATGTACCTCTTCGTGGGCCCAAGCACCGGACCACTGGTCCGTTATTTGTCCTTGAAGGCTCAAAGACAAAATCAGGCTTTGTCTGCTCCAAATCCGTCATTCCTTCTCCTCATCACTTCGACCGTTGCGGTCATGACGACGTCATTGCATTCTTTACAAATCAAGAATTCGATATGGCTGGAACATGTGATCACTGGAGGATGGGCTTGAAAAAGCATCAGCCACCCCTTCGGTCTGTAGCCGGGCCTTTTAACCTCTTGCAACTTCACATGTTCTCGACATAGCCCTCCCTACGTGTAATTCACGAAGCTATTCAAAATGACTACTTTGCAGTGTAAGCTGCCCCCATTGGCTACCAGCAGTTCATATTTGTTCTCTATAGATTTCCTTACTATTGATTATTAGCATCAGCTGTCCCTGGTTAAGTGTCCCTGACTCTTGAATCCATATAGATCTTCCACCAGTCAAGCCCTCTGCCATCGCGCTGGGCACCGTTTTCACTCACACCGCTTCTCTGGGCATTCTCGCTCCAGTTTTTGGTGACGCATACCACCGTGCTCAAGCTGCAAATTCCAAAGAAGAGTTTGTCAGATCCAAAGAGACTGCCAGTGCCGCCGCCGCCTGGGGAAGCTCCTTGGTTGGAAGTGCTTTGCAAACATATGGAGTGGCGGCTCTTATTAATGCCACTGGAACTCTGACCTATAAAGGCGCAGCATACCTGGGCACACTTATTTTTTTCGCGAGCTCGGTTCCAAGTGTACGTTTTACCTTCCTTTCAGTCGTCTTGTTTAGTCAGCTTCTATGTCTCAACCTTGTTAGCTAATTATGTGTTCTAGTTGTTTTCACAGATTTTCACAGAGAAGAGGCCACTGGACATGATTGCTGTTGGTGCTGTTAGCCGGGTATTTGAGACAGTAGGCCTCAGTCTCTTCCTCACGTGGTGGGGAACGCGCACAAATCCTTTCGACTAAGGGTCCTTTTAGCGAAGGAAATATGGTAACATGATTAGGTCGAACAGGGGATGTGGAATAATAGATATATTTGATGAATGGCTCAGCCGCCTGTGTCAGTCTTACTCCGTATTTGAACCATGTACTTTGTAAAGTCATTTATTATTAATACACTTGTGCAGCATCAATCTGGGCTTTGATTGTGAATACGCTTATGAATTAAAAATACGTGTCCCATGAGAGATCTTGTAGCCTATGAATTACCTATCTTGGTGATTGCTGACCCCATGAAGTTAATCCACCATGTGTAGACTTAATTCAGTAGCATATGATCACATTATGTGCCCTTGGGCATTTGCTATGTCGACTTATAGTAGGCTGTGTTTGTCTACAGTAAACTCAGGTAACTTTGACATTTGCAAAGGCAGTCTGAGCACCTTCAACTTTCATTCTATGACAAGCGCTTTCCAATCACAATACGGCACAAACGAAGAAATGAAATTTCTGTATAATGTAAATGTACCTATACTCGTTTTCCAAACATCCGGTTGCTTATATTCAATTCATCCCCATTGTTCCCGAGCCAAGGTGTTGTCTGTTCCTGGTCGGAGCGAGAGTAGGGGATTTAGACAAATCAAGAATCCCCAAAGGGCTAGAGTCACCACAAAAAATGCAATTAAAGTCTAGAAGCCAGTAATAGTATCCGTTTCTAACTCACTCTAGGTTACCTGGGTTTAGGCAGATGAACGATCACGGAGTTCCAATGTCTTAACTCGAGTGAAAGCATTATTTGTCCTATAAAGACTCCAAAATGCAAATCCATTGGTAGAAAAGAAACATGAATAAATTTTTCTATGGTTTGGATGAAAAAGTTACACAAAGGTACGGCAAGAGTACCTGTCACGCTGTTAGTTCTGTCGTAACAAAAAAAAAGGTGACAGAAAAGGACATACTTTTCCGGGTACCCTTGTCCAGAACCGAGCTGGTACTTCGAAGACGGGTTGAGATTGCATGGAAGCGGTGGTAAACCGTCAGGTCCCAATACTCCCTGGACATTCCGCTTATCCTTCTCGAACAAAGCAGCTAGGCCCCGCTCTTCTCCTTCCTGCTTCACGGCAACCAATTGCTTCTGCCCTGCTTCACCAATTTGGAGAACATCGTCTTTTGGTGCTGATTTGCTTCCCACGGTGAGAAGACCGACAACATCTGCCTGGTTGACTACGCTCAACTTGGGGTAATTCCTCCGGACATCCCGTTTCCAGTATGGGTTGTCTGCGATATCACCAGCTGGGATAGTTACTGGATCATCGTAGGACTGCGGAGGCAGGGCTCCTGGAGGTGGATTGCGATACTGGGGATTGAGTGGGACACCAGTAGAACGGTTAGGGTCTAAGGCTAGGAGGCGTCGGATACGTTCCCATATACCAGTGGACTGGACGGTATATTTCTAGAGAATTCTTTAGTAACAAATGTAATGAAAGAGAACAGAGAGACGAAACCTTGTGAACAGGAATAGCGTTAGAGACAGATTTAACCGCTTTCGCAACTTCGCGAGACATGGTGGAATATCGACTCCTGATGAACCTTAGCTCCATTGGCCCGGCTGTACCAGTGCACAGAAAATTTCGGTAGCTGAGGAGACCTACCTGCTGATTTATTTTTCCAAAGTTTAAATGTCCAAGCGAGGCAGACTACCGCCTTGCATCGCAGACTGGTATTATCTTCGAGGACGGGCGGATGTCCGGCTTGAGGTCGCTCAATGTCGGCGTATTAATTTTCCGGAACTTAACATGTTAACGGGAAAAGCTCCATCAAGAATATTGACCATCTCATACCGTTCTTCACAATAGAGAGAAGTAATAATGGATTGGAATACCATTGATGACAAAATACTAGGTGACACAGCAAGATAACATCACATACCGAGAAGCAACTTGCAGAACCTTCCCCGGAACAGGACACTCGTATCTCCGTTCCCATTGGAGTAACAGCTGAATATCCCCATTCTGAAGCCTATATACCTTCAAAATAATTGCCATTTCAAACTTTCATGGTTATCTGC